GCAAAGGCCGAGTTGGTTTCCAAGGAATGATTGATACTCACGACGGGATCATGCGTATGAGTATAGAGTAGCCTATTTCTTTCTGTTGGGAATATTGGAGTGCCTCGAAGGAATCGAGTCTTTGCACCATGGAACGAAAAGCATATGGAGGCGTTATGAGCTATGGCGTTATTTGGGAATGGATTGGTATGGGGTCTTCAAACATCAAATCTCTGGAAGCGAGTTTTATTTCTAATACCCTCATCTCGAGCGAAAATATTACGTATCATCAATGTCTCTGATTATATAAATGCCGTCTCTGTAATAGACAGGCCCTAACGCCTAAGAAGAAGCCTTTCTCAGATCACTCCTTAATTATCCATCATAACAAATCCCAACGCCATCTATGCCAATTCGCTTGTACCAAATATGATGCCATTACTCCACGCCAACTCCCTCCTCTGGAACAGTGAGCGTGCCAAGTTTATCGTCAAGCCAACGAGCTAGCTCAGTGGCATGACGGCGAAGTGCAGTTACTGCAGCGGCAGAGCCTGCGTTGCTCTCGAGACTAGCTGTTGTCTGTCCACCAGTGCTCAGAATACTGTCTGCTCCATCTGGACTGCCAACATGAGAGGACTCGCCAGTGGGAACATGGAGATCATGCACATTGGGCACACCATGCTCTGTGGCATCTGGGTTGGCGGGTCCGACGCAGACGAAGAGAAGACCGCACTTTAGCCTACGGATCACGACAGTCCCGCTCGTGAGTTGAACCGTGACAGTAGCAGGCTTGATGCCACGTCCCTTGCCAGACTTATGTGAGTCGAGCTGCTGGCTTTGTGATAATCGATCTGTATCATCCTCAAGGTCATCCTCTTCAGGTGGCGAGCTTCCGATCGGATCGGGTGTGCGAGAGCCGGGTAGAGACGCAGCGAGGGCAGGGGCCGAGGTGGAGTGTATGGCGAGGAGGGATGCGGCAACGGTAGCATGTGTTCGAAGAGCGGCTACAGGATGAGGGCTTGCGTGTGCGAGAAGCTTGCCGTGGGGGCTTGTGAGAAGAAGCGTGGGAAGCTGGGAAGTTCGGTTCGCGTTGAGGAACGCCGTAAGGCGCTTTGTGAGGAGAAGAGGAGGCGTTGGGTGGGAGATGGACATCGTGATTGAACGATTGGCGATTGATAAGTTGATAGCCTCTGCGGACTTTTCCGAGTGCAGAAATTGACGTGATTCTTCGATAGGATATGGAGACAGAGTCAGATTATTATAAAAGAACGAGAAAAAGACCCGTTCGTTGCTTGGAAGAAAAGAAGAGTCAAGCCTTGATGCGTGTTAAGGTGGAATGGGGAAACGACGCAGGTCCAGGCCAGGTTCAACTTGTTCAAGCCTTGTTGATGGCGGGGCCCGAAGTGCTTGTGACTGGGTTTATCTTATTGGCTCTGAAAATTGACATGCAGTCGTGTAAGATCATTGGCTCTTTGATTGCTGGTCTTTAATTTGAGGTCCATGACAAAGAAGAGCATGATTATTGTGAGGCACCCAAAGAGATTATCCGGGTTTCTAAGAGTACGAGTGATAACAAATAAAATATTGCGATGAGAGCCTGCTACACTTATTTCTGCTTACTGACACTCGCTCTCTGAAGCAGGTCATCCTCAACATCCACGTAGAGTCTCCCCTCCTCTGTCTCTTGCTTCCACTGTCCATATGCGAGCTCCACCATCTGCGCAACCTCTGCCATTCGAACCCAAGGCTCATCTCTCTGTGCAGGATTGTAACCCAGCATTACCATGATCATGGCGCGCAATGGTTTGGTGTAACGAGCTCGTGCAAGGTACGAATGAATGTTGATGGTGAACTCGGAGCAATTATGCCAAGCTGGACAATCGGGCCATCCCGAGACCTCTTCCTTACACTCCGTCTGACCTATATGCTCACAACCACCAAGAACGCAGTCACATCCTTTTGCAGTGGCCTCTTGCTCCAGACAGCCACCGTCTTCGCAGAAAGCGACATGTGAACAACCGCATTCCTCACAGTAGTAAGTTGGAGCCTGCCCAGTCATCATGGTGAAAACCGTCGCACCAATAGACCACATCTCATCTCCGAGGGTATAGGGTCGATCTCCCTATAACATGTGAGTTAGTGGTAAGTTATTGATCAGCATTGGGTACCAACCTCGTTCGGAATCGACGCTGGGGAGACACGATAGTCGGATCGAGTATCCTCTAGTCGCCACATCCCCGCCTTTGTAGCTAAGGCCATCCCATTCGAATCTGAGTGAATAGTGTCAGGATTGAATTGATCATCCACAATGTGACATGTGACAGCTGCGTTGCTAAAATCGCCTAATTTGCATTGGCCATAGGTCTCATTGCCTCGAGGATGCTGAAGCCAGACATTCATAGGCTCGATGCAACGATGCAGAATTGGGAACCAATCGGTGTTGACAGAAACCCATTCCCTGACCATGTGACGACCAAGTTGCTCTGGTCGGTAAATAAGTCGTTTACCGTCATGGAGATAAGTCACTGCGCGAACCAGAGAACGAAGAACGTGCCAGCAGAGAGATTCCGGTAGATAGAACTCAGGACTTTTGCAGGGATAATGGCGGAACAGAGCGCTGAGGTTACCAGCATCACCAAAGTCCCAGACAAGCATCTGGACATTGTTTTCCGGGACAATGTCAGAGGTTTGTGACCTGTTGAAAGGCCAATTTTCTATGACACCAACGATGGAAATGAGGTTTTCGTGATTGAGGATCTGGCGGATAGTGTAGGCTTGATTATGCGTCGAAAGAAGTGTGTTGAGAGCTTCAGCCTCTCGATGTGCCTTCGTGACATCGACAGTACCATTAGGCTTCACTCCGAAAGGGCTGCTAGGACTGGCGAGATACTTCTCTCGCCGCGGGTCCCCTTTTCTCGTGACGATCCAGACGTTCTTCTGGACCTTCTCGACGAGCTCAAATGTTGGTTTCTCAACCTTTGTGCTGGGACTACCGAACATCCTAATATCAGGATTCGACGAGTATTCGCAAGTCATGATGATGGCAGAGACGGCGTGTTCACTCGAGGCAAGAGAAAGATGTAGTAGTTGAGGGGCTCAAGATATTCCTGAGAGAAAATGTTTCTCTTGTCATGACCTCTGCCGCCGTTTCTGGAACGGACAGACAACAAAGAACCCAGCTCCGCCACATGTTGGATGAAGCCAATGAATGCCTCATTTCTTTGTTCTGAGTGAATGCGAGGCTATTTGCGCTATCCAAACAAAGAGACGCCTGATTTTGTCACTTATTAACTCATGTGAGTAGCCGGGAGTAGCACATAGTCTCATGTATAGGACCATTCGTTGCTCGCACGACCCTCTTAGAGTTGTTTCGAACAAAGAAAAGGTGGGAGTGAAAGTTTGTAACGTCATAGGTGAATACTCAGCTCACAATGGCCAACTGCCGTCGATTGCGTTATTTCTCGATATTTGAGGCAGCCAGCAGCCGGCAATCAGTAATTGTCATTGTGGTCGCGGTGGAAGCAACCGAGGCAAGCTGCAGTAGTTCTTTGATCATATGAGGCACCTCGTCTCGTCAACTCATGCGACGCCAGTGAGTGATTGTGAGTTTATGGTGTTCCTCGGAAATGAAGATTTACAAGCGGGTTTCCAAAATGCCGAAGACCCAAGATTGCCACCAAGTTAGCTCTGGACTTTGTGTGCAACTGTCTCAGTGCTTATGACATGGATTGACGCGGGGGAGGCAACCCGACCACTATTAGCATGTTTCACCCATTCGAGGGACCCGAGAGAATTGGGGGATTTGTTGCGATGCAACCACGCTGAAACTCGATAATTCGGGAGCACCGATCCAGGTTTCATTTGATGATAATGTGCTGTTCTTGTTCTTGTCTGTTCTGGTTACACAGCTTTGTTGTTATCCAGAATTATTACCGCTGAGCATGGCGGCTAATTCGCTGTTAGTGTCTGGCGGGATGGGATTGGTCGCGCCGTCTTCTTGGGCAGTCAAAATTCCAGTTGGCGGTTGGAGGATAGGTAAAGAAAACCAGCCACTGAAACAAGAGAGATGAGCGAACACCAGCGGCAATGCCCAGTCTTCCCCATCCAAGGCCCGACAGAGACAGAGGCAATAGGCTCATAACCACTGAGTTCTTGTTGATAGTGGCCTTCTTCCTCGCCGCAGCATCCCCACAGCCAATCATTGGTCTCGATGAACCCTCAAGATAATGCTCAACGTTTGGCGTTTGGTACCTGCAGGTAATGGCGCCACTAAAGACCAGGGTTCTCGTAGCGTTACACTTGCTGTAGACGTTGATCTCCGCTCCTTCCTGTTTGAAGTCAAGTCAATGCTGGATAATAATGCGATTTAACTGCTACCTTATTAGCCCGGGGCGGCACTTCCCTCTCATTTGAAACATCCTTCCCATTTCCGCCGTGTCTCATTGTTCCAGACTCTCTTTCATTCATCTTCCAGCCTCCTACTGCTATTGTATTGTACAGTAATTGTTCTTGCCACAGCTTTGACGGCTCTTTTCTTGGCTTCAGTACAATCTCTTTTGTGTCGGTTGCGTCAATCTTTCATTCCATTGTCTCGAATCTCAAACAATATATCGTCATTCAACCACCGAGAACAGCCGTCCTCATATGGCTATTGTTCTCTACGTTTATTGAACCTCTACCAATTTCACTCATCCCTTAAAGATACCTTCTTGAATATTTCGCTTGTTGAACAACAAAACCTATCTATCTAATCGAAAGTATATACAACATTATCAACGACAGCCATGTGTTCAACTTTACACTAAACCCTCACTTATCGCGCACCGGTTGCAGCACGAAATTATCACGATCGCTTATTTTGAGTTTATTTTTCGACGTTCTTGCTTCTGTTTCATTTGTGACAGCGGTGTATTCGGTCTTCGCTGGCGAAGGAACCCGATAATCCGTCACTCGACAGCCTTTATACCCATCGACGACCTCTGTTTTCGAAATAGCTTCTCAAGACTCTCACAGTTCTCATCATGGCTTGCTGCGGAAACCGAAAGAAGCAGGTTGTGGGGATTGCTGACCAGAAATGGGAATATATCAATCTTCGCGACTTTAAAAGCCGTGGATGCGGAACTATATTCGCTTATATCTACCTGTGGCTTATGCTTCTCGTTTCAGTTGCTGTCTATGTTGTTGACAGTTTTACTGCCGTCAACCTACTCGTGTTCGATCGTTGGTCTTCAAAGATCGATCCTGCCATCTCTTTCGACGTTACGAAATGGATCTTCTCTATTTGCATTATTCTCTCATTCATCAACCTGGCTTACGAGGGTTTCCGCGCCTTTCGGGTTATCAGACGAGGCAATGTTGCGGAATCCTATCTTGACAGCTTAGCTGTTCGATGGGAATCAATTCGACTTGGTTCGCAAGGTTGGAAAAGATTCCTAGTCTTTGCTGAACTCACAAAAAGTAAAGAAGGCGCACAATACATTGCCCTTTTCACATATTTCAACTTTCAAGGTAAGCTTACACGCCAACTTGTCAGTCACTCTTTACTAATTTCTATAGCCTGGATCCGAGTCATCATCTGCTCAGGTCCTCGTCAGGTCCTCAATGCTTTCACACTCAAGTCAGTGTATGAGGCGCAATTGACGCCTACAGCAGACAATGTGGGCGACTCCATTACTGGATTCTTCGAGAAGATCAAGATCCTTGCCGAAGAAGATTATCAACAGGCACTTATTCTTTCAGGAATGTGTTTTACTCTAATTATCTGGGTATTTTCTGCGCTTTTCCTTCTCGCTGCCGTTCTGTTTTGGTTATTCTTTCTGTACCATTGGATTCCTGCGGCCGACGGTGGTCTTTCTGGATACTGCGAGCGAAAGGTCACCAAAGCATTGATGAAAATTGTCACAAAGACCGTCAACAAAGCTCTAGCTAGGGAGGAGGCCAGCCGCTTCAAGGCTGAAATCAAGGCGGCCAAGAAGAATGGAGAGAAGCCTCACCTTGACCGAGCTGCCACCCTACCAACTTTGCCAAACGTCGGCCCAGTCACCAAGATGGACCACCCGCCAATGCTCAATCGTAACGACACCATGATGACACTGCCGCCTTACACTTCACGCCCCGGTACGCCAGGTGGCATGGAGAACACACCCCCAGCTTTAGAACGAACTTTGCCATCTAGACAGGGCACTACGGCCTCTATCGCGAGCTACGCATCCCGAGCCACTTATAGATCTGGAGGTGGATATGGACGCATTGCATCCCCCGTGCCTGATGTGCCTCCCATTAACTACCAGGGACAGACTCAACCCCGATCTATCACTGACAGGCATGAAAATTTTGGGCCTTATCCTCCAAATCAAATGGCGATGGATTCAATGACAACTCTTCCTGGGCGATTTACAGAGAGTCCTGGTCCAATAAACTCTGACATGGCGCCTTTCTTCCCTCCCCCGACTCGCGCTCCCAGCGCTCGCCCTATGGATACCTTTTCGCAGCCCATGGGAACATATCCTTCGGCTCAGGCACCCCAGTACCAAGCTTACAATCCTGGAGGTCACATGAGCACAGCATCATCTGTGAACTCACATCAGGGCGGAGCCGCAATGCAGCGGCCCTTCAATCCCCCAGTACGAAGTGCTACAGGGCCGATGCCTTTCCGGGGACCTCCGCAAAGGAACTTGACGAACCCAATGCCACCTCGCGCAGCATCTGCGAGACCCGAAAGGGCTCCTCCGTATAACTATGACGTTGAATCTCAAAGACCAGGTGGTTGGTAAATGATTATATCAAATATGTTGGATTATTAATGAATCACGAATCAATAATATCATGTTCACAGGTGGACTTTTTGCATAAGAATCCTGAATAGAAGTGAAAGATGACCATATTTGACATGTTGCAGGGAGTGGCGTTGCCATGCTGACTTAGGCGTTCTGATTACTTATTATTCGTGCTAATGTCGCGAGCAATCCTGCAGTGTGGTCAACTACGCCCTTAAGAGAGAAAAGTCTGTGGCTGATGACTTGTCGATAACATGAAGTCAATCTTGGTTGCTGACATACACCGATGACAGAGAAATGACTAACGTTAAGTCAGAAAGTTTTAAGGTGGCATGACGAAACTATTTCTTCTGAACATTCTCTTTCACAGTCTTGCGCTGAGCTTACAATACGCATTTTCAAGTCATTTACTACAATTATACGGATCCTTTGTCAATAACAACATGCCCTCGGCGACATCAGAATGGCACGATGGCGAACTAGCCGTGCAAAAGCAACTCAAAGTCCCTACAAGAAGAAACCCAACATTTCCAGGTTTAGCACCCCAGTATGGCATGCGAGTGATGCAGTCGCCCTTGGTAGCCCTCGGAACGCTAGATAGCGAGGGTCGCCCATGGACTACAGTATGGGGTGGAGACCGGGGCTTTGCAAGACCAGTAGCTGAAGGCGTACTCGCGTTCAACAGCTCGGTTGATACTCGCCATGATCCTGTTTTTAGAGCTCTATGGGACGGGATTGACGATGACGGGGTGAAAGAAGGTACCATTAACAGGCCGAATGGAGGCGAAGGAAAGGGAATGTCAGGATTATCCATCGACTTGGAGACCAGAGATCGCGTGAAGCTAGTAGGAAACATGATTGCTGGTGCCACAGTAGAGGAAGGCAAAGCAGTACAGATGGCCATGGCTGTGACTGAGAGTCTGGGTAACTGTCCGAAATATCTCAACAAAAAGGATATTGTGCCTAATGAGATGGCACCAGAGCTTGTTTCGGACAAGCTGCCCTTGTCACAGGAGGCCCTAGAACTGATTGCAGGGGCAGACATGTTCTTCTTGTCGAGCACAAATGGGGTCACAATGGACACAAATCATCGTGGAGGAAGTCCTGGATTCATGAGGATTATCAAAAATGAAGAGGATGGGCTGGACCTGATATATCCAGAGTGTGAGTTTTACATCCCCCTGTTCATGAACAAAGCTAATGAAGTATCAGTCTCGGGCAATAGACTATATCAGACACTCGGAAACTTCAGAGTGAATCCACTGGTTGGCATCGCTATTCCGGATTATAAAACAGCCAACGTTCTTTACGCCACAGGCAGCGCATCAACACTTGTTGGTGATGAGGCTTCTTCTTATCTTGCAAGAACAAAACTTGCGGTCAAGATCTCAGTTACTGCTGCAAAGTTCGTCAAGTCGGGACTGCCTTTCCGAGGTGCACTGGGCGAATACTCGCCTTACAACCCTCCTGTCCGTCACTTGCTCTCAGAACACGATGCGCATATTGTCGAGGCCTCATCAAATGGTATCACGGCAAGCTTGACTAAGCGTGAAGTTCTTGCGCCATCCATCGACCGATACACCTTTGAGCTATCTTCAGCAAAACCTATCAATGCATGGCACGCAGGACAGTATATCACCCTGGACTTTGAGCAAGAAGTCTCGAGTGGCTACAGTCATATGGCTGATCACGATCCTCAAAGCATTAACGATGACTATGTCCGAACGTTTACTGTGTCAAGCCCACCAGAAAACAATAAAGAGGTACAAATCACAACGAGGAAACATGGTCCGGTAACGAACTTCCTGAGAAAGCACAACCCTCGTGTGCCTTTGGAGATACCAGTGATTGGCTTTGGCGGCGAAGAGGGTTTCCGCATCCCTTTGGAACCGGAAGGCCCGCAATCTGTCTTTATCGCAGCTGGTGTAGGAATTACGCCTGTCCTCGCACAGGCACCAGCTGTACTTCAACACAAAGCTCCATTTGCGCTGCTCTGGACTCTACGCTACGAGGACTTACCACTCGCGAGTGACACGTTCTCAAGAATTCCAGGGCTGTCAAATGTGACTACGCTCTTCGTCACTGGTCAGCTGGACAAGGTGGACTTGTTAGAGGAGGCTGAGCGGGCTGGGACACGGGTAGTAAAACGGCGAATAGGCGCTGATGATGTCGAGAGGTTCAAGGGCCAAAGCGCTCGTTTCTTTCTGTGCACAGCGCCAGCCCTGCTAGCTGCTCTGGAAGGCTGGTTGCTGGGAGAGAAGGTTGTCTGGGAGGACTTTGGATATTGAGGATAGTGGCATACAAATTGAAGTACTTTCCTGGTTCCGGCTCATTTGTTTCCTTGGGCACATGTCTCACACCTCGGCCCGCCGGAGGTTCATGTTAGCCTACGGCGGTGCAAAGGACTGTAGAAGAAGTACCGTAAGGTCAAACCCCATGTTCCCTGAAGCTTGCCTCTTGTTGCGGGGAGCGTTCCACTGCCGAGTTAGTCAAGTCTGGGGTTGAGGAGAAGAGCTGAGCTTCTTGAATTGGATTTGATCTCCATCAGCCTCTCATTGAGAGCATAGACCTAGCAAAGCAGATCAACGCCGCGTATGCCACATCATCAAATGAAAGCGAAACTGGGCTGTCTTACGAGAATCTCCTGAATCGAGAATAAATTGGCAAAGGCTACTTCCGTAGTCATCTGATCTAATGAACTCGTTTCCCCGCAAACATGTTCGGGAATCGGGAGTGCGGAACCGCATTATTTGTCTATGGCGGAGAGACTTGTAAATCCAATATTATTAAGCTCAAGTGGAATATTTGGCTTTTCCTTGATCTGGTAAACAGTGGTGGAGGTCTCGGGGTCCGAAAGAGACATATCCCTTGTTCATCTCGTCAACTTGGGCATGAACTAAGGCCAAAGCTTGTAGTGGATTGATCAAACCCATAACATTGTGAGAATGTTCCCAAGTGCAGAACTCTACAGCCTCTTATGTATGAGAAAACTCAGGTTGTAATATGTTGTCACGGTGTATTTCAACTCTTCTCGCATACTGTAACCACGAGGGTTCTCATAGCCCTTGGAAAAGCCGCCACAAACCAAGTGATCCTGAAATTGAAAACTTCTACTATAAATTGCCCCAATTATCAACACCCAAGCCTGTGGATCTCCTCTTTTTGAAGGTCCCGAAGTCATATTCTCCCAGAAACAACAGGCTCCAAGTCAATGCCCCATGTCTCGACTATGTCCAGATGAATGGGGTTTTCCCAAAAAGAATAGCGAGATACATCTATTTTCTCGGATAAAAAATTGACGATGATGACACCGAGTTTCCGAGGATTTGCAAGCTGGTCCGCTGTCGGCGCAGGAAATGCATCTCTCACCTAAAACGGACAGGCTAAAGGCAGCACTATCGTGGCAGAAACAGCTTCAAGCCGGGGGCAGTGGGCCTCTTTCAACTCCCTCCAAAGTATCAATTGGTCCGCTAAGTAGCTCAGAGACATGCGAGTTTTCTCGGCGTCTGACTAGCAACGAGGCGAGCTGTTGTCTGTAACCGTCTGGCTAAAAGAGAAAATACCTGGTGTTAATATGAGTTCTCGGTGTAGAATATTATTGCCCGTGACTTTCGACAGTTCGTTCAGCTGTGGGTTTCAAAAAGATCGAGTGTAAGTTAGAACTTGGCTGAAGGCATAAGAAGTCAAATTTGATTTTACTGCTTCTATCATTTATTGTCAATGAGGCTGACTGGTGGTTCGATGTCAATCAAATAGAGAAGAACTATCTACTTTAGTAGCTAATGTCGTAGGAGTTTCTCCTACTTCTCCGCCAAAGGGCACGATATGTACGTAAATTATGCATATTTTTAGGAGACCATGATCTGATTGCCTCTTGAAAGTCACAGCATGCAAATTGGCTGTGCTAAATCCGAGAAGCGGTGCATTTTTGAATCACGAGTCAATATTAGAGGCCGTAGAGAATGGTGGAGAAACCTCGTTTGTAGTTCCAAGCACATCCATGTTATATGTCCAAGGGATGAGCGTGGAGTCAACTGCTGCAATAAAGCTTTGACTACAATTATAATGAGTTGCTGTTTGAGAGATTTAATGGATAATCCTCAATGTTGATCGGGGCGAGTTCAAGACACCGCCGGCTCAATTTACTAAAGTTCACACAGTTATGCCAATCATTTATGTAATTTGTCAATCAAGAAACCTTCAGCGTAGGAGTTTCTGACAATCAAAGATAGCTAGAATCACCCCGCATTTCCTAACAGGGATTGGAAAAAAGTGATTGTCGTCGGTATGCACTCTGATTGATGCATGGTGCTTACAAAGACGTCTTCGTGGCAGAGCAATGAAATCAGACTGGAAGACAGGCCAATCTCTGAGAATGGCAAATTCCGTCAGTTGTAAAAGGAGCAGATCTTCATGGCCAGCCGAGATATCTTGCTTTGAGTTTGGTCTGCATGCTGAAGTTTGCGGAAACTTATGATTTGTAGCTGTACGCCGAGTTGATAACCATGTTGATTTATGTATTGAAAACCCCAGCAGCAGCACAGCTCCAGAGACCAATTCGATGAGCTTCGGGTTCAAGACAGACCAAGGCCGACAATGTAACTTTACAGGGAATCTATTGGTGCTACCGTAGAGCTTAGGTTCATGTCCCTCTGTCCCTGTATCACGTTCCCTCGAGCCGGCTTGGTGGAGTGGCTCAGATCGCCGTCGTCATACCCCGCCACTAAGAGTTGGAACGGGAATGATTTAGTGAGTAATCAAGACTTCCTTTGAAGCGAGCAAGGCCAAGCATGGTGAAGATTAGGGAGAGAGAAAACCTCAAAGAGTTCGATGGTAAGGGAATCGTGACATAATTGGAGTTCCAGTGTTGCAGATGATGGGAATTGGGAACGAGCCAGTGGGGGGAACTAGGTAACCATTCCAGGAGCCATCAGGTGTAAAATCTTCAACAGCCAAAGCAAAACAAAAGGAACACAATAAAAGCAGTGGCTTTATTGCACTCTGCTGAGGTCGATGGCGTGCGAATGGTGCGTCAAAGGCCTGGACTTTCGTATTTTGTGGGTGCTTGTGCGTTCAGTACGGAGTACCTCTCATGGGGGTTTAGTTGAGTTAACTGTCCAAGATTGGTGAGTGGGGTGTTCGCGTGGCTTTGGATTCTTTAGCAGGCCTGAAACTGACCTACCACATTGCTCAGCACAGGAGTCTATTCCCTCTGTAGTCCCACATTTTCCCTTGCTAAGGCAATGGATCTCGGCGCATGCGCAGCCCAGCACTTGCCCACCATCTTTTGCCTATGCCTGCCTGCCCTGCCTGGAGATTTGAATCCAATTCTCGCAGAAGGGCCGTAATAAGGAAAACCTTCTTTCTTCTACTTCTACTTTAACTTCCCTCTTTCATCTTCTTCTCTATTCCCGCCTAGACGAACACTCACTCGTTCACTTACTCGGACCCTCTCTACACGCCAACAGCATCAGCCCAATAAGCGATAATACCTGCGAAACTCTTACTGTATCATCATAATACGTGCAATACTTGCTGATTTCGGAACCCCCGCCATCGCCGCCTGCCTATCCATTTCGCCAGACTTGCGCAGTATTAAGTCAACAACAATCGCAAAGTTGCCACATCTCTGTTTCGACCATCTTCTGATCGCCCCGACGACTTCAATCACAGCGACTGGTCGGATCTGCCCACTTTCAACGAGTCGGTCGTAATTCGGTCTCTGCGCCGATACTGCCGTGTCCCTCGCTTCCGTTCGCCGTCAACTACCGGCGCCGGCCGCTGTTGTTCATCGGATCGCGAAACCCCTCGTTCCGCTCAACTCGCCACTCTCATCTCAGAAACCGATATTCACTACACAACAATAGTCGAAATGGCTTGCGACTACCAATACGTTAAGGAGCACACGAGGGAGGATTACGTCTTTCCCTCGCACCGCTTCCAACGGTCATGCCCTCCGGACAAAACTCCGCTATGTCTCGTTGCTTGCGGCTCTTTCAGCCCAATCACGTATCTCCAGTAAGCTTACCCTCATGATTATGGCTCTTTTGGCAGGGCATCCGATCAAGGTCGATGCTCTCGATAATTGGGCAATGATGAAATGTACCAGTATTTGGACAAGCATTCGCTAACTTTTGAGCAGCCTTCGGATGTTCCCCATGGCTCGGGACCATGCTCACAATGAGAGTAGGTTGCGCGCTCATTGCTTCTAAAGCCTCGCTGACGTTATCAGATTTCGAAGTTGTTGCAGGTTTTTTGAGTCCTGGTATGCGAAAATCCTACCTTATGAAACATGCCTGAACTAACCGGATATCAGTCAGCGATGCCTACAAAAAGAAGGGCCTAGCTCCTGCTCATCATCGGATTGAGATGTGTAGGCTTGCGACGGAAAACAGCTCTAAGTGGCTAATGGTCGACCCTTGGGAAGCTGAGAGCCCAACTTACATCCCAACCGCCAAAGTGCTTGATCACTTTGACTATGAGATCAACGAGGTCATGGGCGGTGTTGAATGCACCGACGGAACTCGAAAGCGTTGCCGCATCGTGCTTCTTGCTGGCCTCGATCTCATCCAGACCATGTCGACTCCTGGTGTGTGGGACGAGCGTGACCTTGACCACATCCTGGGCAACTATGGCGTATTTGCTTTGGAGCGTACAGGAACTGAAATTGATTCAACCCTGGCGAATCTGAAGCAATGGGAGAAGAACATCCACATAATTCGTCAGGTAGGGTGTTCAAATCATTGTGTCAGTATTGTGATACTAACGATAGTACAGGTCGTCACCAATGACATCAGTAGCACCAAGATTCGTCTATTGCTCAAACGCAACATGTCGATTGACTACTTGATCCCTGATCTTGTAGTGAGCTACATTTTCGAGAATAATCTTTATCGCGATCTCGATATGCCTGACTCGAAGGGCAAGGAGAACGCCGTCACGAATGGGCCCAATGCCGGCACCAGCACTGGTTGATTGTCTCAGTCCTTACGGTAAACGATATAACCAGTATCCCACCCAGACATCGATCCCGATACCGCTGCCGAGTTTTGAGCACGGTAATCGAATCATTGAGAGCTCACCACATAAAGACCAGAGCCCAGGCTGTGAGCGAGAACAGCTTCTGATCTGATGTTCGAGTCGTTGCGATTTTCAGGGTCAAAGGATCAATGTTAGTCATCGCAATGGGCCACAATAGTTGAGTTGCCCTAAATGCCTCGAGTGTGGGATTGAGAAGGCGTGGTGATGAGGAGGTGGACTTTTCACTTTCCTTAATGACAGGACGTCGCTCTTGACGCAACCTGCTTTGTATCAGCGGTTGGATAGAGCGCACTTTTGAGCGGAGATATTTCCATCAATTGAGGCATACAAAGACGGGGCATCCCGCTATCTTGGATCCAATCTGTTACTATCCATGCCTAGCAACTCGCCGGGTTCGTCGGAGGTCTCCGACTATTGATATGCACGTGTCCTTGAGATTGAGGACGAATTGTAGGTCTTTAATTGGAGTTACCTCGGCCCGCTTCGATAGTCGTTGTTGCCTTGGGTTAAAAAGAGCCTTAAGTTTAAGCTTGTTGGCAAGCCATGATTTTATAGAGAACCAGTCGAATAGTCGGCATATGGAGTTTTAGCTGGATAGATACCCGTTCATTTGATTAGGACCAGTGATTCAATTTATTGTTTTTCAATGGCTGTGGCCTGAAACCTGAGTGATTTCAATTGGACGAATAATAAATCAACTGCCGCAATTCTATGAACCGCCAAGTCTTCCGTCCTTTAACGGACGGAAGATAGCTCTCTGAGACAATATCTCCGGCTCCTTCTTTCTCCGGCAAGATTGCACGAGGACAAAGTCAACCAATGAATGCTTCCAATCTGTTGATGATTTACAGGGGCCAAGACGAAAGAGCAACAAGGCCTCCAAAGCTACAAAAGGGACCTGCAAAAAAGGGCAAAGCGTGAACCCCCCCGCGGTCGCGCAACCGACGCTGACTGGCCACCTCCGATTTGGCGCATAGATAAACGTGCCAGATCGATAGGGCATTTGGAGGCTTGGCGGCGATACTGGACAGTTATGGCCATGGCAAATTATAGGGATAGACCTTTTGCCAAGGGGAGAGAACTCAGCGCGGAATCGATTTCGGTGACCTTTTGGGTCTTTTGCGCCGGGGCCAAATTGGAGTAGAACCAGGATAGGTAGGTGACCCAAGTCTTGGACTCTGGAGGCTATCATGAATACAAATAGCTGAGAGCGGCCCTGTCGATCATTTTTCGAGAGCAGGGCAGTTCAAGTGTGTCTCTACTCATCTTCATCATGAAACTTCAATACCTCGTCTCTTCCCTCATCAGCCCTCTTGCTGCGGCGTTGACCATTGCTGAGATCAATGGCAACAGCTATCTCTCTTCCTACGCTGGCAAGAATGTGACTGGTGTAGAGGGCCTCGTCACGGCTGTTGGCAGCTCTGGCTTTTATTTGCGATCAACCAAGCCTGATCGTAACTCAGCTACTTCCGAGGGACTGTATATCTTTGGCAAGTCGGCTGTGAGCAGCGTCTCCGTGGGAGATGTCGTCACACTCGATGGCCTCGTTGAGGAGTACAGGTGAGTTTCGGCAACTCAAGGATGGAGCATTGCTAACCTAGTCAGGTCCAACAAAGACTATATCTATCTCACTGAGATCTCTTCTCCCAAGAACATTGTTGTCAAGTCCTCTGACAACAAATTCAAGCCCAAGGTTATTGGCAAGGATACCGGTAACCCTCCAGGAAAACAATTCTCCAAGCTTGACGACGGCAATGTTTTTGCTGTTCCTAACAACGAGTCACTTATCTCGGTGTCTAACCCCAAGCTGCAGCCTAACACATACGGTCTTGACTTTTGGGAGAGTCTTGTTGGTGAGCTTGTCACTGTCCCTAAGGCGTATGCTCTCAGCCGGCCCAACAGCTTTGGAGATTTCTGGGTCAGGGGCAACTGGAAGGTTTCTGGTCTGAACAAGCACGGTGGTCTTACTATGGTCGGCAACGGTATGTAAAGCCTCAATCTGAAGTGCTTTCTTGACTAACAGTATAGATGCTAACCCTGAGGCCATCATCATCGGCTCACCTCTCGATGGCACCAAGAACCCGAGTGACACTAAACTCGGCGACTATGTTGGTGACATCACTGGCGTGGTCTCCTACGCCTTTGGCTTCTATCGCATTCTTCCCCTGACTGCCACCAAGGTCAGCAAGCCTTCCAACGCTGAACACCCTGCCGTCAGCTTCACCAGCAAGGGATCTTGCAAGGGCATCACAGTTGCAGACTACAACACTGAGAACCTCAACCCTGCTTCTGCTCACTTGCCTCTCGTCATCAAGCAGATCGTTGAGAAGCTGCGAACTCCTGACCTGCTTTTCCTCCAAGAAGTTCAGGACAACAGCGGTGCTACCAATGATGGTGTCGTTTCCGCTAACCAGACTCTCGCTGCTCTGGCCGATGGTATCGAGGATTCTAGTGGTGTTGTTTACGAATGGGCCGAGGTCGAGCCTGATAATAACGAGGACGGTGGCCAGCCTGGTGGTAATATTCGCCAAGCTTATCTCTACCGTCCTGATAGAGTTGAGCTCGTCAAGCCCAATCAAGGTGGCCCTAACGACGTCAACGCCGTTGTTGATGGTCCCTCGCTCAAGTTCAACCCTGGACGCATTGACCCTGCCAACCCCGCGTGGGATGATAGCCGCAAGCCTCTCGTAGCCGAGTGGAAGCCTGTCAAGGGTACAAAGAAGTCTTTCTTTACTGTCAACGTCCACTTTGGTAGCAAGGGTGGCTCAACTTCCCTACATGGCGATGCTCGCACTCCCGTGAACAAGGGTGTCGAGAAACGCACCAAGCAATCCGAGATCACTGCTGTAAGGATGAATCCCATTATACATGAGACCCAACTGACAACGTGTAGAACTTTATTGCAGAGATCCTCAAGAAGGACAAAAAGGCACACGTTATTGCCGCTGGTGACTTTAACGAATTTGCCACCGTTGCACCACTTCAGACTTTCGCCAAGACATCTAGTCTTGTTGATGTTGATGAGGCTGCCAAGATCCCTGAGACAGAGCGATACACATATCTGTTCGACAGCAATTGCCAGGCTCTGGATCATATGTATATCAGCAAGGAGTTGCGCAGGAGCATCAAGTATGAGCATCTGCATATCAACACTTGGCAGAACACGGCTGGCGAGGTCAGCGATCACGACCCTAGCGTCGCTATGTTCGATCTGTGCTAGATGAAATGATAAAGCATATGATTATATAAATAGGCAGTTAAATCCGCTTGCATCATCCATAAACATAGATTTTGCCCAATGAGTGTATAATAGCCATGGGCTTTGACTAGTCATCACCACTGTCTTCGCCGTCGTTAGACTCTCCTTCTCCTTCTCCTTCATCCTCATCTTCATCACTGTCGTCATCTTGGCCAGGGTCCGGCATAACGATGCTATTCAAAAATGAAACCTGAGCTTGTCAGCTTGTTAATCAATGAGATTGACACATGTCTTACGTATCCAACCATAGGGCGTATAATCTCGCTGATCTTCTCTTGCGCATCATCCTGGTAGAAGATATTGTCGTCTATCTGTGTTCCAACAGTAAAGTTCCTCAACTTCAGCAGCGCAATATCACGATGTTCTGCCGTAAAGCCTTTTGGCTTAGTTTTAAGGGCATTCTCTTTGTTCTTCTCCGCAAAAGCAAGTAGCGCTGCGTTAGGATCGGATTTGTTGGCAGCTTTTGGCAAGAATGTGCGCTTAAAGGCCTCGTCGTTGAGTGCGCGGCGCCATCGATCGGGTCGTTCGTCAATACTGGCGCGGAGTTTCTGCATTTGGTCGCCGCTGGGACACCATAACCCACCACCGATGAAAGATCTTTTGGGCTCGCAGTGGATGTAGTAACAGGCGTACGGGCCTTTGCGACCTGTTCGAGACCACGCAGCGGAGAAGTGAGGCTATAATTTTAGCTTCCATACGTATTTTGGGTCAATTGGGCTCGTACCTTGTATGGTGTAGGATCTTTACTGAAGCGAATGTCTCTATGGATTCGAAAAATGACGTCTTTGATGGGAAGCTCGGGAATCGTTTCATCGGCTGATATAACGGTTTCGGATGCGCACTCAACAAAGGAGTTCCAATCCTTCAAAGCGCGACGATACTCTCCATCATGCGCTATGCATGTCAGTAATGATTTGGCAGTAAGTGAAGGATGGCTTCTTACACTTCAGCCAAGGTCTCTGGTTGTGGGCTTTAAGGTCTCGCAAGAACAACATGGTATTCTTGTGTAATTTGAAGTCTTCATATTCTATACCATCTGTGTCTCTCAACTTCTCCAATGGAATAATAGTAACTTTTGGAGGCGCATCCTCGTCATCTTCGTCATCATCGTCCTCTTCTTCTTCTTCTGGCTCCTGCACTAGCTCATCTTCGTACGGTTCCTCGGATTCTTCTTTTTTAGGCTGCTTCTTTGGTGGTCTTCCACGCTTCTTTGGTGGTGGCGCATCACTCTCTTCCGTACCCTCACTGCCTTCGAAGTATTGACTTTGAGTGGTGGAGACTCTCCGCGAGCTTCGCCGACTGCTGGTTATTTCCTCTGCGGAACGTTTTCGAGGTGGCATATTGCAAATGCTGTGATTTCCACAATGAAAGAGTTGAATGACAGAAAGTGCCACTAGTGGTGTCAATAGATGTTCTTAGACAAGGAAAGGAAGGTAATGTCGTCATTCCCATTGTCGCGCCTGCCGACGCGGTTCGAGACGCGGGTTCACGTGAGTCTATGCAGGAGTCACGTGTCAATAGTAGGATGCGTCCGTCCATGATGTGCCCGTCGACTACTCGTTCTTGTTCCCTCACGTCAACGACCTTGGAACCACTGTTGAAGCACAGATAGGCAGGTAATTATCTATATCCCTGCCAACAAAAGTCATTTGAAACTTGAAAACAAGCAATTTTTCAATTTAGACACTATATCATCTTCATTTTCGGCCCAATGAATGGCCTCTGCTGCTATATCATACAGGGCATATCTCATTAAGTTTCGTAAACCAAATGACGAGCCATCTCTACGTCAATTTTGGCTTCTTATATCCTGGCCCTGCTTCATGTCAACAGTGCATCCATATCGCTCAATCTCTTCCTGGTCCCCTGATCGCCCCAAGTCGGTCCTTGCACGCAAACAGTTTCTCCAGAAAGCTGATATCTCCAAGTTTCTCAATAAGCCACATGTCGGTATCCTCCTGGTTACCCTGTTCCTCTGGTTTGGCAGTCATTTCGATCAGGATCGCACACATACGGGCTGCAGCCTTGAGGCGCTCCCAGCACTGGCTCTCCATGGCAACCTCTTCCTCTGGTAGGTAGATGATCTTGCCGACCTTGAAGAGCCTTCTAGACCACAGGCAATCAAACAACCCCTTCTTCGTTTCATCCGTAAGCTTTTCCTCGTACTTCTTCCAAGCTTCGATGGGAATAAGAGACCTCTCTTGCTCCGTTTGGGCAATTGCTATGCTTAGACGCTTCAGTGCCTTTTCATGTTGTTCTGGTGTTGGCACTTGGTGCATTTGACCCAGCATCTCGAGAAGCTTTGGTTTGAAGTCTTTCCACTGGTGTTCCTCGATGCCCTCAGCGGCTGCGACAACTTCGAGAATATCCGACCTACAATATGCAGGCAAAGTCTCCGTGTCTGCATCATTCATGTACGTATCTTCTCGATCTTGTGAAGGCCGCTCGGCAACAAAGTCATGGCGCTTTTGCCCCTCAACTGTACTCTGTTCCCCGTTCATCTCTTCTCTTTTATCTTGAGACGAGGTAGCGCTAGAATCAACATGCATAGGACCAAGCACACTGGCGCTGTCATCGTTGACCGTATCCTCAGGACTGGGGAGCTCAGTGGGAATATTGTCTCTTGACTGATGTACAGTACTGAAAACTGCAGGCCCGGAGACATCGCTTTTGTTCTTGCTCGTGTTTAGCTTGATCCGTTTTCTTGGGCTGTCATCAGTTGCTGACGGGGTCTTGTTCGCAGCCTCTGCCTCAAGGCGTTTCTGGGCGTTGTTCGTAGGGCTTTCCGGTGGAGTGGCATTGGATCTCTTTCTATTGGATCTCTTCTTTTTGCGACTTCGGCTCTTCTGTTCACTGAAGACGGTGCCGATGATCTCGATAAACTCCTCGGCAGTGGCTGCAGCATCCAGCTGAGGGCGCTTCTCAGTAATATCGTGGCTCGACGGGAAGAAGGCAACGTGCGTCTTGGGTTCAGTTCCATCAGTGAACTTTAGATTATATTTCGCTCGGGTTTTGGCGGTAGTCAAACCGTGGCCGCTAGCCATAGCGATCGATTCGATGAAGGTGATGAGGCTGCTACGCAGGTGTACAAACTCGGTTTTCGCGTCACGGCCCTTCGCGCCAGCTTCAGAGAAAAGATCTTCTAGCGACTTCATGAAGTCGTTACCTGGGATCGCCATCGTCAGGAGCGTGTATGGTAAGTTATGGAAATTATTCTTAGGGGATCCCTTCGAAGCCGTGTATAGATGGTGTTCGAATGAATGGTTCAATACAAAGGAAGTTTACAGCGTGCTGCAGAAAAACAAATGCATCAGGAATGCGTTATCGAGAAAAGGCAAAAATAGAGAAACACTGTCAATACAGCCATGCGTCGTCGTTTTGTTATTGTTAAGGTGCCTGGCACTGCACTGTTCGTCATACCAGTGACAACTTGGACTCTTCACAAGCACAGCACGTAACAGAAACTGATATCCGAAAAGATATAATTGGTGAATTAGATAAATGAAAGTGTAAGACTTGATGCGCGAATCCTCCATTAAACACAATATGCTCTGGCGATGTTGGGTCCTCTCACGCTTAATACACCATGATCACTGCAGGGATAATTAAGGTTCTTCACGAAAAGGTTTGGCCAATATGTGATTCACTACTCCGTACCTGCCTTAGGTATTTTGCCATTGGCATATTGATATTAACCTTAGCTGCTTGGCTTAATTCTTTGACAAAGCGCTCTGGGTATTGACATATTAGGGATATGCGAGGAGACTGTAAACGACCAAGGGAAGAGTCATGGTAAAGGTCAAGTCAAACCTCATACTACTTGCAGGCTAGATCGAAAGTGATGAGACCCTTCAGAGGCCATGTAGCTTTACATCGTGTCGCCCTTTGACCCACCAAGTTTTGTATTGATAGACACCAAACTTGTCATTCACTTCTGGATTTCGTTCGACATGGATGGACTAGGCGCGCACGATTATTACTCAACGGCAGATAGGACACAAAGTTGGCTGAAAATCATGATATTGCGCTATCTACTTTACATCCTGCGCATCCCAGCTCCAACCAAACACCGAAACAAGGAGTTCATTTATGTTCTTTTCCCAAATGTCAGTCTATGCATTTAAAGCTCATCATGGATGTTGTCATCCTGCTCGCCACCAGCGCCACCAGCGCCCTGGTACATCTTGGAGGTGATAGGGTAAGCGACGTTGGAAAGCTTCTCCTTCTGCTCCTCGAAGTCCTCAGCGGTAGCGTCAGCACCGTGCTCATCGAGCCACTCGTTGGTCTCCTTGACGGCCTCGAGGATCTGTAAAAGTTAGTATATGCATTTCTAGTGTGCCTAGTAAAAGAACTTACAGTCTCCTTGTCCTCCTCCTCAATCTTGCCACCGAGACCCTCCTCGTCGTTGACCTGGTTCTTGAGGGAGAAAGCGTAGTTCTCAAGGCCGTTTCGGGCCTCAATGCGCTCACGGGTAGCCTTGTCCTCCTCGGCGTACTTCTCAGCCTCAGCGACCATGCGCTCGATCTCCTCAGGGGTAAGACGGCCCTTGTCATTGGTGATGGTGATGGACTCCTGCTTGCCGGTGCCCTTGTCGTGGGCAGAGACCTTGAGGATACCGTTGGCGTCGAGCTCGAAGGAGACCTCGATCTGAGGGACGCCGCGAGGAGCGGGAGGAATACCGGTAAGCTCGAACTTGCCGAGGATGTTGTTATCCTTGGTAAGAGATCGCTCACCCTCAAAGACCTGGATCAGGACCACGGGCTGGTTATCAGCAGCGGTAGAGAAGATCTGGCTCTTGCGGGTAGGGATAGCGGTGTTACGGGGAATCAGCTTAGTCATGACACCACCAGTGGTCTCGATACCAAGGGTCAAGGGGTTGACATCCATGAGGACGACACCGGAAGTACCCTCCTCACCGGAAAGGACTCCGGCCTGGACGGCGGCACCGAATGCAACAGCCTCATCGGGGTTGATGCCCTTGGAAGCCTTCTTGTTGAAGAAGTCCTCAATGAGCTGCTGAACCTTGGGGATACGCGTGGAGCCACCGACGAGAACGATGTCGTCAACGTCGGACTTCTTGAGCTTGGCATCCTTGAGAACCTGCTCAACAGGCTTCATGGTCTTCTTGAAGAGGTCAATGTTGAGCTCCTCGAACTTGGCCTGGGTAAGGGTCTCGGAGAAGTCCTTGCCGTTGTGGAAAGCTTCGATCTCAATGCGGGTGCTCTTCTGAGAAGACAGAGTACGCTTGGCCTTCTCGGCCTCACGCTTGAGCTTACCCATGGCCTTGAGGTCCTTGGTAATGTCGACGTTGTTCTTCTGGTTGTACTGCTTGGCGAAGTAGTTGATAACTCGCTGATCGAAATCCTCACCACCGAGATGGGTGTCACCAGCGGTAGCCAGGACCTCGAAGATACCGTCATCAATGGAGAGAAGGGAGACATCGAAGGTACCACCACCGAGATCGTAGACGATGATCTGTCGCTCACCGTCGGTCTTGTCAAGACCGTAGGCGATAGCGGCGGCGGTGGGCTCGTTGACGATTCGGAGAACGTTGAGACCGGCAATGATACCGGCATCCTTGGTGGCCTGTCGCTGGTTGTCCTGTGAAGGGTTAGCTGGCTGGTCAGCTCGAAAGAGGAGAAAGTCAAACTTACGTTGAAGTAGGCAGGGACGGTAACGACGGCGTGGGTGACCTTCTTACCGAGGTAGCCCTCAGCGACCTCCTTCATCTTGCCAAGAACCATAGCAGAGATCTCCTCAGGAGTGAACTGCTTCTTGGCGCCATCAACCTCGACCTGGACGACGGGACGGTCATCACGGTTGACGACCTTGAAGGGGAAGTGCTTGATATCACCCTGGAGGGTCTTCTCGGAGTACTTGCGGCCAATAAGGCGCCTAAGCAGTTAGCATTGTGCCGTGCAATCAGAAGAATATAGGTATGCATACTTGATATCGTAGATGGTGTTCGTGGGGTTAGCGGCGGCCTGGTTCTTGGCGGCGTCTCCAACTAAACGCTCGTCCTCGGTGAAGGCGACGTAAGAGGGAGTGATTCGGTTACCCTGATCGTTGACGAGAATCTCGACCTTGCCCTTCTGCATCACACCGACACAGCTGTATGTGGTTCCAAGATCCTGAGCCAGTTAGCGGGGTCATGATGAGCGCACAAGAAGCGGTAAACGTACAATACCGATGACGGTGCCGTAGTTATCGACCTCGTCGGCCTGAACAGTCTGGACGAAGGCCAGAGGAGAGAAGAGGAGGGCGATCCAACAAAGGAGTCCCAGGCCAAGGGCCATCGAGCTCCTTGAACGAGCCATGATGAGCTCTCTGTAGTTGCTCT